CGTGAATTCACACACATTTTTGTTTCTAATCCAATTTTCTCCGTTTAGAAGCCACAGACCAAAAAAACGCAAGAATAGTTTTTTCTTCATTTTTTCACCGCGAATCAATCGAATACAAAAATAAGTCGATCGGTTCAGTCGTTATTAAAAAATTGCTAATTACAAATCTCCCCTCCACTAAAATGCCTCATATTCGCGTATAAGAGGCACGGCGTGCTCGCGCAGTACGAGCGCAACTTCGTTGCGCGTGAACTTGGCGCGAGGCACTACCGTGCCTCTTGATGTTCGTAAAAACGCACACAGGTACGTCAAAAACAAAAGAGCCGGAAAGATCGTTGTTATTTATCGCTGAAAAACAAACAGTCGGAAGTGGTCAAAAACGACACGGATGTATAATAACCCGCGAATAAGTTATCGAGCGCTTTTTATAGGTACGCCGGCCGTCAGTGTTTATATAATTCGCTTTAAATAAAATAAGAAACCAGGCTTTTAAATACGTTAAAGATAAATGTTATTTTCTAAAGCAGAGATAAATGATAACGGTTTAAAATAAACTATATGTCATCAAATTCAATAAAACATTTATTTCTTTATTTTACATCATCTTCGCCTACTCTAACATTTTGTTAGGGAAGTTTTTATGTTCAAGAGACTTTGAAGTAACTCAAATTGAAAAATAATTACATTTTGTCTGCAACTGTTTTATCTCTATAAGTTCTATTAATAATTGATTGTTTGTGGATAGAGTAGAGACAATGTACACACTAATTTTATATAGATTAACTGAAGATGAGATTAAAAAATTTTAGTAGCAAAAGTAGTCGTAAGAAATTGAGTAAATTTATTATGTACGTTTTGAGACAAAACATTATCAATCACTTTTATTATATGATCAGCTTGACTACCTTGGTAACGTAAAGTTTGTTAATAAAGAGGTTTATGCTCTTAAGTAGGAAACTACGCGTAAGGAAGATATATTACTAAAAGTAAATTTAATATTGATTTACCCGATTCTGTTTTATGTCTTTGTTTTTTACACTATCCTGTATCTTCTTACGTTGTGCAAAAACTAAAGCAAAGATAAAAAAGAAATTATCGAGCAAAAATTACTATCTTTCTCAACGATTTTATTATTGACTCCGCCAGAGTAATATATTATTGTTTTGTGGGTGTTGTAAGGCACGACGCTATGATGTTACAAAACCGAACGATTAAATAAAACAAAGTATTATGATAATTTAAACAATAAAAACAAAACAAAAAAAACCAACATAAAAAAAAGAATAATTCAGCACAAAAAAAATATGCTAGCAATAAATCTATGCAAAAGCAAAAACCATCAAATGTAAACAGTTGTTTTAACGAGAAAAAAAAGCGTTTGTCTTGTCTCATTTATACATTGAAGCAGTACTCTCTGTTGTTAGTAATAGTTTTACCGAGCAGTTGCACGTATTGTGCAAAAGCAGGGTTTTTCGTAACAAATCATAAGATAACGAATTACAAAGTAACTGTGAAAAATAAGTGTGTTGTAAACTGCGTAAAACTTCAAAACTATAGAAACTTGTACATTATTTGATTTTTACACTTAACGTCAAACAACTTAAACTCGATAGCACAATGCAATCTAAAAACTTAAGTGAAACTTTTCAAATAGTATTGCGGAAATTACTAGGAATTACTTGTTTCTTATTATTTGGTCCATTTCTCGTCATTATTCTATCGTTTTTCTACATCTACCGTCGTTTGATTGAAATTATCTTAAAAATTCAACTTAAAGACAAATTTGCCGGTATATTAGAAGGTTCAGACGCCTTCTGGTCTATCGAAGACATTTCGCTATCTATGGTCACTTTCGTGATGCTTTTGAAAAAACCCGCAGGAAGTACAAATACAATCTTCTTGAAGAATATTAGAAACTTCGCCGGTTACGCTTCGAAGAATATCCCCACAGAGCTCAAAAAACTGTTCTACTATAGATATCAAAAGTATGGGTACTTTTATTGGGATAAATCACACAAATTTAATCCAGAAACCGCGATCCGATGGCTGGAGTGCGAAAAGAATACTTGCGATGGATCTTGTGAGAATTTTTACAGCACAACTTTTCAAGAAAACTTAGGTTCTATATGCAACAGACCGTTGTATGATAATCACAAACCAATGTGGGAAATGCTCGTTGGCAGACGTTGTTCAAAATCTTCATCTTACATCGAAGAAGATCCGAGCTTGTCTTCCGAAGATCGCTTCAATACCGATATCGACGAAATTCCAGTAGTATTTCGTTATCATCATTCTCTTGGTGATGGTGTAACTGTTTTAAATACGTTGTGCAAAATAATTTTTGACAAAGACGTGATAAAAAAGCAATCGTCAATAATGGACTTCAAGAACGACATTTCGACAGCCAAAGAACTCCATTTTAAAGAAAAACGAAGAACTTCCTTAAAAAGAAAAAATATTTCAAACTTGAAACAAGTATATACCAAAATTAAAGAAATCACAAAAACTATAATAAGTATATTGTTTGGATTTGAAATCCACATCTCTCAAGTTGTTCGTAGTGTCGATAAAAGGTACAATATTTAAAAACACCTCTTTTAACTATGAACAGAGCAAATGTTATGATAAAGTAAATCGATGTCTTTACATTAATGAGACATACAAATCATCGTGTATAAGAATTTTTTATTTAAATTTATTTCAAATTTCCACGTTTAGAAAAAAATTAACATATACATAAATGCACGTTGATGTGACATATTAGCTCGTAGTTATTTTAAACTCACAAGTCACTACTTGTCAGTTGTGTAACAGTTTCACGAGTTTTTAAATTGATCAACTATATAGATTGTTTAGTTGAAACACTTAGGTAAAATAATATTTTTTTAAATATCTTGTATAAATTTAGAATATTTGCAAAGCACAATTACTTATCATAACTATGGTTTTATTTTAATAATATTAATATTCTTATCAAAACTGTGATATCTTTCGTGATACGTATTTAGACAAGATATTTCAAGTGTGTCGTTATGTGTCATACTAACTTATTTTTACAGTAGTCTGCATGGTCAGCCATTAACAGGTGAGAAACTAATAGTTTCCTATATGGAAAACAATGCCAATAAATCGCAGCTTTTTATGAAACTTAAAAAACTAAAACTGTGTACAGGAGCAAGAATTACTGACATAATAATTACAGCACTTGCTGCCGGTCTAGTTAGATATTTTTCACGCGTAAGTAGACTTAAATAATAATTGATCTAAATTACACTCAATAAGAGCTGAAGTTGGGAATAAATTACTCGTGAAAAATAAATGCGTTCTGATATTTATTGCAGCTAAATAACTTTACATCATATGTGCTATAGATTTCTAGCACTGGCGGTGAATTTTAGTACGCAGCGATTTTATGGTTCTTTTTCTTTCTCTTTTTCTGTCTCTCTCTCTCTCTCTTTCTTCTCTATCTAAACATAATGCAACGTATGTTCTTTTATTGCAGATAAAAGAAAGAATACCTGAAACACTATCGGTCTTTACACCCATAAGAATGGAATCTGACAAAAACATTGGATTCAGGAACGATTTTTCGTTTCTTATGATCAAAAGTGTTTTTGTTGATGAAGACAGAAACAATATTTCAGTAAATGACACTTGTCAATTTTTTGAACGTCTTCAGAGAACCGCATCATCAAACAATAAGATCAGAAATAGTTTAGATATATCTTTAAATTATTTTTTGCTAAAATATGTATGCGGACTTTTGCCAGTAGAAGTTTTGAAACCTCTGTCTACATCGATTTGCACAATAGCATACAGTAATATGAAAGGGACAGGAAAAAACTATCAATTTATGAAACATGAAATAAAAAATGCGATGCCTTTAATACAAAACAGGTACTGTACATCAATATTCTTGTATTTTGTCTATTTTCTTGTAAGAATGAAAAATAAGGAAATAGATCCAGTGATAAAATATTAAAACAAATCACATATTACGTGTATTATTTTTAGAAATAAAATTGGCATGGGAGTATGTACATTTACACATAGAGACAAGTTTAATTTGTCCATAATAGCTGACGCAGCCGTAATAAAAGATAAAACATTACTTAAAGATATAGTAGAAGATACTATACGTGAAATTAACTCTGCGTACGATAGTCTCGCATAATTTGGAAGTATCGGACCGTTCACTGAGAACACTCGTGAAAGAGGTAAATATAATAAAGATTTTAATTTAATTCTTGATCATATCTCTCATTAAAAAATCCAAGTGTACCGCAAAGTGCGCGTTTTTGAGTCGAATGTATCGCATCTATTGTTGCCTCCTTTCCGCCGATTAGTTGGTTGATCGAGTCACGATCGGAGGGTAACTGACCTCGGCCGCGCGACTTTGAATCAGTGATTTTGGTCACGTGATTACGGTATATATATATATATACATATGTGTGTGTGTGTGTTGTGTGTGTGTGTATTATATATAGATATAGAATAATATATATGATATATATAATATTCTCGTTTTTTTTCTTTTTAAAGTTTTGTACTTCAATAATACGCTCTCTTCGTAAATGTAATTTTAATTAAAACCAATAATCGATTATTTTGTGCAGAAAAAAATAAGAAGATCCAGTGACATGATGTCGTCTACTGTCTAAACAGTGTTACCACACATCTAACAATAAAATGATGTTACACTAAAATTATCGAACGTGTTTGTTAGCTAGGTAAAAAATTTCTAGATATCTTTATACTAATAAACGATTTATATTTAAAAAATTTCTTGTACTACAAATGCGCATCACTAAAAAATGTGAATGAGAAAAATATGTATTCATATATTTATAAAACAAAAATACAAAAAATAAGACACAATTATATAAGCAGATAAATGTGTGTATATATATTATTCTATTGTATTTTCAACGATGTGATATTTAAAATATAATGCTATATTTATAAAATGAAAATAATAAATACATTCATAGTATATACATATTAAAGTATATACATTCATATAAAAGTAAAATAAAATTGTTACAGACATTATCTCTCTCTCTCTCCCTTTTTCTCTAGTTTTCTGTCGAAACATCTAATATACTTAAAAAAATATACCTAATAAAAATATATTTAATATACTAAAATCTATTTCTTTATTAATAATCTTTTTTAATTGTAAACATAAAGTTTGTTTTATTTTTTTGCACTGGCTGCACTAGTTCACAGTCTATCTTTTTCCTTCTATGGATAAAAAAAAGATAGATTGTAAACTAGTGCAGCCAGTGCAGAAAATAAAACAAACCTATAAATATTGTAAAATGTATACACACACATGTACTAAGTTCGCGTAAAAGACCAACTTCGCTTATCTAAAATGTGTCAGCAAAAACAATAACTGTGAATCACTTCGATCGTTCGTTCAACAATTTCCCGCTGTCCCACTAATATTCGGCCAAACAAATTTTTCAAAATCGTGGAGTATCGAAAAGATCTCATCCATCTCGCGTGCAGTCGACGCCGCGAGAATTCGGCTTCGAAAGCGGATACAACCAGTTTCCGAAAATAGGTGTTATCAGATGGCAATCGAAAATCTTCTCTCGCGCAATTAGCAATACCAGGCCGAGCAAGCAATTCATCAGGGCGCCGCCACCCACCGTCGCTTCTCTCTACCTGCGATCGGAGATGCAGCCGTGTTGTAAGTGGGTCAGGGTATACGCAAAGTCGAGAAGCGGAGGAGTGCGGTCAGATTAACCCACGCGATTGCTTTGACTTCCTTGCCTATATTCCAAACCCATATGAAGGGTTTACGCGGAAGGAGGGCTGCACCGCGGGGGTGTGCAGAGGTGCCTGGTACGCTGCAGCTCATTATATCCCGCCACAACCACCACCTGCACGGCTCACGTGTCCAGGAACGTTTCATCGGTCTTTATTGCCCAGGTTAACGCAACCGTTTAGTTCTAGTGCTCTCGTTTGTCATAAAACATCCCCATTGTGATCAATTATAAGACACACGAGAGCGCGTGTGTCTTATCAGAGCGAGAATCTCGTCTTTAAAGATCTTCGTTGAAATTGCGCACAAAGGACAATTATTTTTTTTTACAAAAACTATGTTATTTTACAACCGAAAGAATCTTTGAGACGAACCGACTTCACAAAACTCTTGCCGCAACAAAAAAAAAAAAAAAAACAGTGTGTTGGATATATCGAGATTTCCTTATAAATGAAATCTTTTCCGATTAATTTTCTCCTAATAGTTCGTAAAAAGAATGATGAGTTTCATTAGACGATATTCTACAAGATAATCGCAGAAATATCAACGCGATCTTATCCGCTGACATTTCGCTTCTATCAGGGGCGCCGTAAAACACCCCTGAGCCGCGCGCCTGCGAAATATCAGATTCCACCACCTAACTCGCGTGTGTCCTTGTCGTCATCGTTCAGTCTTGCCTCCACTTCCATCCGCACTTCATCTTTCGTCCAGACAGTCGCGCGACTATGCACTACATAATTTTACTTATCGTCTTTAATTTCGACTCTCGCTGAGAAAAGGTAAACTTGTCCCGCGCGAATATCTCTGTATTTTCTTTATACCTACAAAGAATGTACTTATCAGTAAGAGAACATCGAAGATTCAACAGGTATCCCGAGTGGCGCAGTGAGAGAGTTTCGTCACGATCTTAATTTTACAGTAAGCTAAACACACACGTTCCTTGTACTCGCCGTTAGCGTACTCGTCGTGTGTTCCGCTTCAGAAAAATTTACATTTTACATCACATATATAAGACGCGTTCAAAACGCATTTTGTCGTTCTCAAATCTATCAAAATTCATCATAAATACATTTTTTTGCAAGTCAGTTTCAGATTAAAATAACGTGCTTTTCGCCGAATTCTATAAAACGAGATGGAAAATCAATGAAAATAAGTGATACGCGCGGGAAAGCTTTGCGGTTCTCAGGCCCGTTACATGAATACCAACGATGGGAGAACCTCTTCGAGTTCGGAAAGCTCGAACGAAGACAAGAAAGACACGAGAGAAAATATCGAGAATACAGATGAGGATTCTGGAGAGGAAGTGGTGGCAAACTCCGTTACAACAACGGATTGTGATGTCAAACCCACTGGAGGTTCGAAGTATTACTGTCTCAATTATTTAAACACAAACAGATAAAGAATATTGACGATAATTGTGTTGCTTGTGTAATTTTTATTGAAGAAGAATCGTATTCGGAAAATAAAACCGAGTCACCGGAACTGCCGCCGACAATTCACGAACGATTCTCGCGTATCAAGCAAACCGTGAAGGACGCTATAGCTGCTCACCACACTTTTATGATTTATGGCAAGTCACAGGTCATTCGCGATTGCATGTTGAAGAGAGGATGGTGCGAGAAGTTTTATCGCAGATACAACGGTTCAACCGGCGGTAATAAATCATTTTCACTTCTCTCCCCACCTCTCCCCATTCTAGAGTCTACCGCATTTTCAATGTAAACTGCAAGTTTTACGATACTTAATCTAATAATACCAAAGGTAACACCGTGGATTTATAATATCAAAGGTAAAACACACTGTGGTTTTCAGAACAGCATCTCAGCGTCGATTCCAGTCCGGTGATTCTGCTGGCTGGTATCGGCGATCTGAAGGATCAGCAAAGCGAAGGTCTGTTAATATCGAGAATGCTCAACAATTACACTGTCGATTTCCTGTGGAACTGCGGATCCGACTGGCCCTGCTGGCCCGCTCAGGATAACAAAACTACTGTGTTCAATCGGTACTGTCGAGCTGGTTTTACGTCTAAGGTATTTTTTGTTTTGACGATCAAATTGTCACGAGAGTCTAATTTCTACGTGTACGGAAATTGTATAAAGTCCGAACAAAAGAAAAAAAAAATTCACGAAATAATTTGTTTTTATTAGAATACTGATCCAAAAGCGCGAAGATTGCAAATCATCGATACGATGATATAATATTTTATCTGCGTCTCTCTCACAGAAAACAATATTTACCAAACTAAAAATCCAAATCTTTAGAAAGTGCTTAGTACAGCAAAGATGTTTAGATAAGCGATACGTAACGCTAGTTTGTTGAGGATGCATGCTCTTCGCGCGCGTGCCGGAGAATCGTTAGGAAAAGCTACCGTGTGCACTTCTTGGAAAATCAATTATTCAGGTGGGCTTGTGCTCGAGCGTCAGACAAATGCACTGGTATTACGAGGCTGGAGTGGCCAACACTCTGTTTCCGCGCTGCTACAATCTATGCCAGGCCGATCAGATGCACGCTTTCACGGAGGACTTTCGGTGAGAGATCTTTATCGATAACTCGCAAAAATCTTTAACCTTTACCGGAGATGTACTTGCTGATAACCGGTAGTGTTTGCTGCAATAGACTAACAGCTTGCCTGAGTCTCTTGAAGTGGTTGGTGGACAAGGTCAATGCCGAAGACGAAGACGCGGTGCGCTCCACAACCGGCGCGATACCGCTCAAAGCCCTCGATTTCGCAATTAAGAGATGCAGCGATTACATCAGCGCACAGTCACACGAGGACATCGATCAGGAAGCCGAAAAGATCTGGTCCCATCAGTGGGACCAGTTCATCAGTTGGTATTATCAAATCGTTCACGGCCAAGCCCTATTTGTTCGCACCAATGTGCCTTTTAATGTGAGACATCCGCAAGTAGATCGCATCCCTTTTATTCGTATACACCAACTCCTAATCGCGTTAATTCACCGCAGAAATACGTTCTGGCTTCGAAGCACATATTAAAGAAAATGAGGAAATACTGGTCGCAGATCGACATGGACGGCATAAAGAACGTGTGGATTCTAAAACCCGGAAATAAGAGTCGGGGACGGGGAATCGTTCTGATGAACAAGTTGGAAGACGTGATGGCGAAGGTGAATCCAACAGGCAAATCGGACACGCGATACGTTGTCCAAAAATACATCGGTAAACTCACGTCGGATTACAATAACTTAATACAAATTAGCGATCGCTCTCTTTCTCAAGAATTTCGAGAGCGTTTGTTTCAGTTGAATCTAATAGCGATTTACTTCACTTCTCTGTGTTAGAACGACCGTTACTGATTTACAATACAAAATTTGACATCAGGCAGTGGTTTATCGTGACGTGCGCTCAGCCTTTAACTCTCTGGATGTATAGGTACGCAATCATTTTCTGAGGATGCTCAGACGTAAGTCACGACATTTTCGCTCACGCCAGAACAATTAGCGGGCGAACAGTAAGCAACTCGTAAAAGAAATAATGATAGCCACGGGAACTGGGTATAATCAATTTGTGCCTTCGCTTGACATTAAAGCGCGTGACCCTGTTTCCACTCGGCTAATTGTATAAATATTTTTGTGTGTGGATGCGAAATATATCCGAAGAGTGTGCACCCAAAATGCATTCTATCCGCGCAAATTGCAATTATCGTTGACACACAACGACAGTTAGAAACGTCTCGTCCGTTGTTCGCAGAGAGAGCTACCTTCGTTTCTGCTCCCAAAAGTTCAGTCTGGACGATTTTCACGAGTCGATTCACCTATGCAATCACGCGATCCAATGCAAATACAATAACTGCGGCGACAGGGACCCTGCTCTACCCGTGGACAATATGTGGGACGCCACGACATTCAAGAACTTCCTCAAGTACGAATCACGTTACGTCGGTATACAAACGCGTGCGATCGCGTGCGATCCCACATAGCGTTTCTCTATTTTAAATGTCACCCTAACATGCACAAGGTTTTTGAATAAAAACCCGGTACATGAATGTAAAAAGAAAATTTCTAAATACACACGTGAGAAAATATAACATACTCTTTGAAAAAAAAAAAATAAAATAAAAATAAACGTTCTTATAGATCACAAGGCCACGAAGACGCGTGGGACGAGCTGATCTACCCCGGAATGAAGCAAGGTCTTGTGGGTTCGTTGCTGGCCAGTCAGGAGGCCATGGATCGACGGAAAAATAGTTTCGAATTGTACGGCGCCGATTTCATGGTGATGGAAGACTTTTCTGTGTGGTTGATCGAAATCAATAGCCATCCGGACATGAGTTACTCAACCAGCGTTACCACGCGATTATGTCGACAAGTGATGGAAGACACTATCAAAGGTGATTATTCGAAAAACTCGGCGTTCGGCTTCTAAAATAGTATATTATGTGCAATTACAACGGAAGTTATTTCTTTTCGATGATAAGTTGTGATAGATCTTCGTGAGGACAAGAACGCGGATACCGGCGGCTTCGAATTAGCGTATAAGCAACGTATGCCGAGCTGTCAGCCGTATTTGGGCGCGGCTCTGTCGCTTCACGGTACTCGCATCATCACTTGCGAGAAGAAACCAAGTCCGATTCAGGATTCCAGAGCCAACTCAATCGCGAGATCTCCCATAGTGAGTTTATATAACCGACAGAAAATAATTCAGAGATGTCGATAATATCTGTCTTCTTTTTCTCCTCGTTTAGGTGAAGAAGAAACCGACGGTGCACAACAGCATCGGGCCGGTGATCGTCGATCTCATAGAGGAACTCGAGATTCAACTCGATCAAGAGTTGTGTTCTTATTACAGCAATACAGATTCACCGAAATCGAGACCAGCACTTCCGGCAACCGCGCCAGCGAAGCCGAAGATGTTCGCTACTAACGAGAAAACGGAAACCACCGCGAAAAGCACTTCAGCGGGGACGACGTTGATTCAGAAGACGAAGTCACCGACTAATATCGCTGTAATTGAAACAAAATTGATTTTATTTTGCCGAAACATCAACGTCAACACAACTTATAACATCACCTTTCATTACAATTTACAGACCAATCAAGTTAAATCTTCAAATGAAGGAAAAGGTTCTTCGCACAGACTGTTGCAAAAGTCACGCACGTTTGCCGACACCGTAAACAATAAACCCGACACATCCCCAACGAAACAGACGTTGATCTCAAAAATCATGGCTCTTCAGGAGCAATCGACAAACATGGCGCCTAAATCTGTAAAACCATCGAGGAAAAAGGAGGAAAGAGTCAGTAGTAGCGAAAATTTATTGCCGTCTAATATAAATTCGATAAAAATTGTTTTCTTCTTCCTTAAATTTTTGTTGTTAGATCATCAAGACTGCAATGCGAGACGCCGCGAAGAAGTACAAAAGAAACGTGATCTCATCGGAAGTACCGCCACTGCCATCGCTAGTTATGCCAAAACTAAAAATCACCACCTCGTCGTCGACGAGCAAGGGTAACACCCGCAGCTTTCCGAAAAAGCAAACGCTAAATCACAAAAAGAAAAAAGTTTTAACAGACATCACCGACATGTACGCTGTCGGTTTGAGCCTGACCAAATAATTGCAAAATCAATCAATCAGTCGCACTCGTTGTTCGTTGTTCTCTTCTTTACTGTTGATCAATTTCCCAATTCTATCTACACGTTATATATGTATACAATGTGAATAAATGTTATGATTATACCACTCAACGCGCACTCGTTTTATTTTCACGGTTAAAAAAAAAAATATAAATTTCTCTCACGTCCTCACTTTAATCTCGATAATTCCTTGCGAAGCTCTGCAATCGATCGATCGGTTCCGTCTTGAAACAAAGAAAAGTTCTTCGAGTCGTTCGAGAGTAATAAAAATCAATTCACTATATAAGGAACTTCTTTCGAACAATTTTGTGTTTTCTCTCAAAATTTCCCGTTCGAAAAAAAATGTCTGGACAAACAAATCAAGATCTCGTCAATACAGCGATGTGCAGAGATCTTATGAAAAAACGCGAGCCAGAAAACAGCTTTCCGCAAAGAACTATCGAAAATGTTGTTCGAGAAATATTGTACGACAAACGTCTGTACGAGAAGAAAAAGACAAAGGTTTCAGAGCTGTTTTTAATCTGAACGATCGATTATAGTGCGCGTTCTGTGTGCATTTCAGTGATCTTTCATCAAAAATTCTCTCTCTAGTCGCCGATTTTACCAAGTTCCGCGGTACTGGAACACTTGGATCGGTCAATGGCGAAAGCGCTGAAACTATATTGCGGCGAATGAATTAAAAAAATGTAAACAATGGGAGAAAATAAAAAAACATTACTTGATTTTTAAATGCGCGAATGTTATTTTCTACCGTAACTACGTTATTTTCTTGGATTCACGCGGTAAACGATGAATGTAGGTTATCAAGTCACACGATAAGAGTAAAACGATAATCGATAGAAGCGGAAGCGCAGTAAGTTTGTCGTTTTCGCAATAAAATGTCAGTCCGTAGACCGAACTTTTGAAATATTTGGAGTTGAAAATACAAAAAAAGCGATTTTGAAAATTCTAAATGCAGATGTAAAATGCAAGGATATTCCGAAATTTATGACAGTAATAACAATTCGACAAGTTGTACGAGCAACCAATCTAAATGGCAGATAACTTTGACTTCGAGAAATTGCATAATTAAGAAATATTTCGAAGGTTGGCAGGTTTGCATCGAAAAGAAGAAATCTATATCGCGAATTCGCCTAATTTATCTCTGTTACAAAAAAAAAATTTGATTTCACACATTGTTTTGTAAAATCGCACAGGTCTATCCGAACAACGCAAGCGACGCGGAAAAAGATTTGCGATTAACTCTAACAATACCGAAAGTGAGCGACAATTCGCAATGCGCGAAAACCACGAGAAAAATCAAAACGGCGGACGCCGAGATTTGCTGCAATCGCGAGGACCTGCAAGAATTGTTTGGAATAAGTGACGAGAGAGACGAGAAAGAAAGTGGAAACATAAAATTAACCGAATATCTGAAATTAATGACGAACGACAAGATCAGAATCAACTTTTTGCTCACGGTCTTGACAAAGGCCGTGAGAGAGCACAAATGTTACGTAATTTGCGGTACATTTCCGATTCTGAGAAAACCGTTGGCTGATAGAGGCTGGGTCGAAAAGAAGTCGGTTAGAAAAATGATCTCGCTGAGTCCCGACGTGTTCCAAGGTCGTGAAAATTATTTGGCGAAATAATAATTTTATATCAAATTAATCTAAGGCTCCGAATATTATTTATTTTTGCTTTTGCAACAGATGGCTTGGAACAAATCGAAAAATTGTTACGAACTCCTCCGAATCTCATATGGTTTACGAATAAGAAGTTTTGCGCAAGAACAGACGACGAGAAAATCATAGTGAATAAATTTGTCGGGAGTTACTTCACTTCGAAGGTGAGTTAGATGTATAAAATTCTAACGCGAACACGTTACATCCGTTTACATGTAAAATGCACCGTCTGTACTTAAAACAAGATTTCAGATCGATTTGTGTAACAATCTTGGAAATCCCCACTGGTTTTACGAAGACGGAGTATCAAACATACAATTTCCCCGATGCTACGTTACGCATCAAGTACATTATCGCACGCATAATTATAATGCATTAAAATATCACACGTGTATGAGGTGAATGATTGAATTATTTGAATAGTCAGCGCAAATGGAAGAGTTCATGCAGGAATATTACATCACTGCATGCTTTGGAATATTAAAATGGTTCTTACTGCTTGCCGATTTAGTAGGACCGAAAAATATCTGGTCCCCGAACGGGACAATTCCGATAATCGCAATTTCATTCGCTCTGGAACGCTGCGTCGAATATGTAAGGTTGTGTCGCTAGTATTTTGCATCGTAAATTTTTACGCGCGCTTTATGTATGTTGCACGAGACTGATTTTCAGCATTCAAACGCACGAGGATATAGACCGCGACGACTACGAGGACGCGTCTCCGTCCGCTTGGCGTCGACACTTGAACTGGTTCCACAAACTTATAAACAAACGTGTCTTGCTGCAAGAAAGTGACAAAGTTGATATAAACGTACGTACAGGGTCTTTTTTCTAAATGAGAAAAACTTGAGGCGTGCGAAAATTGAGGTGTAATAAATTTTGAAATCCGCAGGAGCTCGTAATATTTGTTCGCACTGTGCTAAAGGAAATGATAAAATATCGGCCGCAAAGCAGGATCGACGGTATGCGCAATATTTGGATTTTGAAACCGGGCAACGACAGTTTGGGGCGCGGAATAGTCTTGAAGAATTCTCTGAGCGATATTCTCGTTAAAATAAATCAAGCGGCGAAAGAAAATGTCGTATACGTTGTGCAAAAATACATAGGCAGGTATCGATGTTCCATATTGTATATATTTAAAAAGAACATATATATAAAGGTAAAAAATGATCCAAAAGATACTCACAGTCTCAACTTACAGAGCGACCATTTCTTGTTCACAATACAAAAATCGACATCAGACAGTGGTTTCTGATAACGTGTACGCAACCTCTTGTTGTGTGGATGTATAAGTACGGGACATTTCGCATTTTGTTATTCTTCTCACTTCGAAATACCTTCAATAAGTTTGTTTCTCACTCGCAGGGACATCCTGATACGATTCGCGTCGCGATATTTCACTCTTAACAATTTTCACGAGTCTATTCACTTGTGCAACACAACAGTACAGTTGAAATATCGAAACTTACCGAGATGCAATTCCGCTCTGCCCAAGGAACTTCACTGGAATCTGAAAGACTTCAAAAATTATCTTCGGTATTTCTATCAAAACGTTCGATTTTCCGATCGATTCGTTAAATTGTCGACTCAATTTAGGTCGCGCGGTCAAGAGTCGGCTTGGGAAAACGTCATTCGGCCGCAAATAAAGCAGAATCTCATCGGAGCGCTTCTGGCGTCGCAAGACAATATGGTGAATCGTAAAAAGAGCTTTCAGTTGTACGGCGCCGATTTCGTAGTCGCGGACGATTTTTCGGTGTGGCTGTTGGAAATAAACATGAATCCACGACTTTATCCGCCGAGTAGTAAAGTTACCGCAAAATTATATCCGGAAGTGATAGAAGACGCTATGAAAGGTACACGTGTACAAGTTACATATTTAAAACAATATGAAAAATGTGTTAAAAAATTATCATTTGCAGTGGTGCTAGATCGATGTAAGAATAAAAGATTGTCTCACGGCGGATTCGAGTGCATTTACAAGCAGCGCAGTCCGTTTCACGGTGTCAATCTTTTGGGACAGGCTACGGGTCTCGGTATTCGTGGAAAAGGTTTATTCGCGACACCGAAATCACCGCAAAAATCTCTGACGTACTACGATCACATGAAGTAACAACGTCGAAATTCAATTCTACCTATTTCGCAAAGAGGAATCATTTCAATCACGACCCGTCTCGTTTCTAATGCTAGCAATTTCATATTAGCATATAAACAAAGCGTCGCGAAACGTACATACACGTTTGAAAAAGCACTTTTGCACTTTTTCAAGATCACTGAATAAATAATCCAAGATCCGCAGCAATTTATTAAAAACATGTTTATATTTTACAAATAACAATATTGTAAGTATATATCCTATATATAGATAACTGTTTTGTGAAAAAAACAATTATGTGTATATTATAGAATTAACGTGTGTGGAAACTATGACTCGTCTGTAAACATTCGCAAATTATTCACGTACAAAATTACTATTTCGTAATTTTGTTAATCGCTATTTAAATCGTTCCTTCTTGTTTTTTTATTTTGTATCGCAAAAAAAACATCCGATTGATCTGTGATTTTATTATTATATAAAATTTTGTTTTGCAAAAAATAAATTTTTGATTTTTTTCTATTGCATTTTTTAAACTTGTGAATGCTGTGTCATTAAATAACAATGAGATTTGTTGCACTTTTTTTTTTGTTATCATTGATACACGATTTCGTAACATTTACACACATGATTTCAGAGATACGCAATTAAACAAAAAAGGATAATGATGATTTATGTTTTTCTGTAAAAATCACGTTCGGCAAATTTGACAATTAGAAAAGATATAAACGTATTATTACAACGCGTGATGATTCAATATGTTTTTGCAATTGATTTGTTTCGCTGAAATAAAATTTTAAATGATAATTTTTAAGAAGATAATGAAGAAGGATCTATAATTGTATATAAACAACATGTATGTAATCATGGAAAAAAAAAAAATTATGGAACACATCTAAATCGATTGGAGCAACATAATTTACATCAGAAGAAGCGAAAAATCGAATACTCGAAAGGGCGATTTAAAATGTGACGTACAAACAACATCAAGTGTTTTGCGCGCAAACCTGATTAAAACTTGATCACAAAAATTGTAAACTTTATAATATTCACTCATTCTGATGTAAATCTGTGCGATCTCACGTGATGTTTCACTTGCATTCGTGTTGAAACCAAACAAGAAGAGAATTGATTATTCAATTCAGATGCGATCAACATCGATCAAATAGAAGAATTCAATCTTGTCTGATTTCAACAAGTGCCTTGACTATATTAGAATGAGCTTTGGGGTCCTATGTTACTGCACTTTGTTTTTATCTTGTCAAGTACAAAGGCTGACAAGATGTTGCGTATATATCACATGTAAAAACTGAACGAAACATACACAGACTCACGTCACCGATTTTAGCGTAAAGGATAATTTTGGCCTCGAGTTGTTCTTGCCTAAGATCTTCTTTTGCTCCTCTTTAACGCGCTTCTCATGTTCTTTCCTCATTTTTTGTCTCTCTTCTTCCATTAACCGTTGCTCTTCAACCATTGCTAATCTTTCTTCCGCCTGAAATTAATTTATAAATCGCGTAGCGTGAACACGACGCGTGATACGCTATATAAACATCTTTTTTGTTTGCATTTAGACAAAAATACTCACTAATTTCTTCTGAGCCTCTTCTATTTTTCTGTTGTTCTCCTCCATTATCCTCTCAAGCTCCTCGCGCTTTTTCCGTTCTTCTTCCTACAATGACAATAGAGAAGTTTACACGAAACGCAATGATGTCGTTAATCCCCAGCTGTTATTACCACTGTTTCGTATATTTGAAATCATAGTGCTGCTATGTGTCAACAGCTTAAGTGTTACACATCCTAAGAACCTTTATGCGGGAAAGTTTCGGAATACGTGAAAGAAGTTTAAGGTCGGATTCTTAAAGAAAAAGGATGGCTTATCGAGAGAGATAGAGACAAAGAGTGACGGAGGAGATAATTAATGTATGAACACACAGTTTTTTTTTCTTTCGTGTCAAATGCATTCTTCTCGAATTCCAGCAAACGCTGTTTTTTGTTTTTTTCTCTCGAATTGTCCAACTAATGATTACGAGACTTCACGTAAATGCGAAAAAGCGACAAATTTCTTGTAATTTTGTCGAAATTCAGTATGCATGCAAAAAATGTAAAAAAAAAATTGTAATTCTCTTTTTTTCACAAACATAATAATGCAACGTTTCCGATACAAGTGCACGATAAAAAACCAAACGTGATACGATGTGTATGTATGTATATATGTATGTATGTGTGTGTGTGTAATGTTGTAACGTTGTGTGTAATATATTATGTCTGCAGATGAGATTTCTAAATAAAATTTTTCTGTAGATGATAATTGAGAAATTAACAGCCTAAAAGACAAGTAGTTGTTGCCATCCTGAAATCGTCGTCGTGTCCTATGGTAATAATATTTAGCGAATCTATAAAATGAGATCCCTAGTATATGGTCTTTTTCAGTACAAAGTATTGAAAACAAAGAACGATGAGATAATAATATTGGTATAAAATGAATTATGAATATATAAATTGGATAATACCTGAATGAAGCTCACACGCCATCACGTAGGGGATGCCTTCTTCACCGACAATCATTCAGCAGTGAGTAAAAAACCGGCATCTTCAGTTGGTAGTAGGTAAGGAAGATGACCTATATATCTCTAGGTCGTGCTTTCTCGCTATGGGATTCTAATTTAGTCCCTTCAAAAGTTTTTCTAATTGTCCCTTTCTAATAAAGTTTCCCAATTTGTAGATAATAAATTTCAATGCAAACTTAATGTGCAAAATGAGAGAGAAAACCTTCTAATAAAATACTCGTAACAGGGTTGCTGTCTAATCGACGAAAAGCAAGCTGACTTTTCAAAGATGAAAGCAAATAATTGTGCATAGAGACACAAGAAATGTGGCAGCATGTAAAACTCTTAACAAAATGAGAGAAAAAAAAATTTTTTTGAACTTGTAATGGAGCGGTTTGATTTTTCACATTTTATTGTGATAATGCAATTCTAGGTTCTAAGTTCACACAAAAATCAAAAAGATAACATAATAACGAAATTAATTACCGAATATCACGTCGATCGTCTTAATTGTGAAAATTATTTATGTGTTACATTTCGTGTGTAAGAAAAACTATATTCAAAAAAAAAAAAAAAAAAAAAATCTTGTTCAGTTGAAGCAGATGCAAACGTATAAATAATGTAACAAACAAACTGATTGTGTATCAAAACAGTGTCTTTACACATTTCTGCATATCTCTGTTATGTATGTTACAATTTCGATTAGACGAAAATTGTTAAATTGAGAAAGTTTAACAAAAGTTTATTTTTTACCGTATTGCAAGTTATTCTGATTGCAATAATCGTCGTGTTTCGTTACAATATAACCTTAGTAATTATAACATCGCTAAATATTGATTTTAAGTTCACAGTTACATCTGTGTTGTTTAGGGAGGAATATTATTTTTCTATGGTTTTATGTATATATGCAAAAATATAACTTTATTTCTCAGACTCAATAATAATAATAATAATAATAAATTACTCTCGTTCAATAAATTACAAAGTTTGGGATTTCTACTGTCTTTAATCAAATGATTATTTTCTCTACTTCTTTAAAGATTGCACGAGATTACGACAACGTGAATTATCAAATACGCGGATATTTTGTTTTTAATATATAAATAAATTAGATAAGAATATCACATATTATAAGAAGATTGATAAGTAGACTGCCAACATGCACAACAATTATAGAAACTGTGTATGAAAACTGTCGATCCCTGTGGATCAAAAACAGCGCGTGTGTGCACAATTTCTAAAATTGTTGACACAAACGTCAATCCAAATATCGTGTGATGAAAAAGGTTATATAAATGTTGTACAGATATATAAATATATATATATATACATGGTACAAACAATCTGATCATAAATAAACCGATACATGCGCCTATAAGTAAAATTTCTTCCACAATAATATAAAATACAGCTTCTCAACAACGTCTCGGTGAATGCTGAGAAGTCGAAGCAGTGTGGTTTACCCGCTTAAATTTTTTTTTGTCACTGTAGAATCATGAACCACAATGCTTCAAGCCCAAACGCTGTGATCGTGAAGCACAGAACTGACAGAGTCAGTTCAAAATTTAATGCAAAGTGCAAGTTGTAAATCGTACGTACAGTTGTGGTTCTGTGAGATCGAAGTTACAACATGTAAACGATCTACAAATTCCACTCGATCAAACTGACTACCAATAAAACCTCAATTGTGTTTCTGAATATTTTTGTTCTCATTTGTTAGACTTATTGTTCTGTAAGTCTCGTAACACGTTAATGTACTTCAGATTTTATCAGCTAGAATGTGAAAAAAAAAAAAAATCAGCTACGCTTAGTTTTCTCGAAAACACATTCTATGTGTATCACACAACTTCAAAAATAATTCTTAAAAAAAATCTCGAAAATTAGATTTATTTCCTTTGCTGATCATACCAGCGCTTGGGCCATCATTAACCAATGTTTCTATAGATAGATCTTACCTCTCTTCGTTTCTCCTCCTCACGGAGTTTTGCTTGTCTCCACTCCATCTCCTCCATCATTTGGCGTTCCATGGCTCTCTTCGCTTCTTCCACTCGTCTCTGCACCTCCGCTTCTATTTCTTCTTTCCGTTTTTCAAGTTCTTCTTCTACCCTCTTTTGTACAAGTTCCTCTATACGCTTGGCCGCTTCCTCTTCAACCATCTTTTGTTCTACTTCACGCTGACGTCTGCAGACAGAGAAGCAGCATCTTCTTCCAGCCATTTCAGAATTACATTTATTTCTCAATAGAAAATATTTCTTAATAGAAAATATAAAACAGCATGCTAAATCTCAATGAAGTTTCAAGAGTGGCAACTCTTCTTGGAACTTTATCAATATGCAAAGTATTCAAATCTAGTTGATATTGAGTGTAATACTAAAGAGGTTTTTTTTTTTTTTATAAAAGACTGAACGTTTGTACATAGAACATATTATAAAGCATATTGTTCTGCAAAACCGTGATAGTGATAATCTTCATAGACAGATAAACAACCACCACCATGAAATAATTACGCATTCTCTTACCCAACTGAGCTCGTGATGAAGATTTTGTTCATTAATTCTTTCTTTTTCCTGATAACAATTATAAAATATGGCGTGTAAAAGGAATTTTAAAAATAAAAAATAATTGTACATGTTCCGCTTGATAAGCAACAAAGTACGCGATTGGGAAAGAAATACACAGCAAATCATAGACTATGTTGACTCAGCAACAATCCGATTTTAACGTTAATTCTCATAGATTTGATTTACGCAATTTCTTTCTTTCTTATATTGTGGAAAATTTTGTCAGCAAGAGCCAAAGTTACTAAAACAGGATTATTACCAGCACAAACATAATCGCATGGTCAATTCTAGCAGGAAGATTTAAGATAAAATTGGCGAGAACAACACAGCTGGCATATCTCTCTCCTAAAGCGCAGATTCTATCAAGAGGAACATTATCAATGTAATCATCTCTGTTTACCTTTGCCGTTCCATCTCCGCCAGTCTCTCTACTTCGTCCATTTTTCGATCCCTGTCCCGATAGGAACGTTTCTTATGACTAACAATATGTACATCATCCGATACTTCCGTACCGCTGCTGGACGACGCAGAATGTGACCGCTTTCTGTACAAACAACAACGCTAAAGATATACACAAGTGCGTTATTCAACTAAGTAACATTTATATTATACTCGTATTGGACGTCGTCCAATACAAAAAAAAAAAAAAAAAAAAAAATTCATGCGTGCACATCGTGACAAAGCAGAGTCACGTACAAAATCGAAAACTTTGCTGCGCATTAATGAGATATACACTTCCGAAGTGCCGAGAATATATTGTTTTCTTTTTCTATCGTGAGATATAAACACTACCAATGCACGAAGAAGTGACAAAATGGCCGAATTACACGGTCAAATAGGAAATTTTGTAAACGGACCGCGCACGACGGAAACGTCGTCGATGACAAAAAAAAAAAAAAAACAACGTACCGAGATTTGGAACTGCGTTCTTTGGATTTGTCTAAATACTTGTTGTTGGAATGTTTCTCGCGCGATTTCGATCGCTTGCGAGAGTGTTTGCCTTTGTGACGCCGCCTGTTCGGTGATTTCGATCTGGAACGTGAACGACCCATCTTCTCTCCCGCGGGAATTAACGATTATCTTTTCGCAAAGTTCGGTGACACGGCGCACACAAACTGGCGACCGCACGTGTTGTGTGTTAGACGGAAAAGTTCACTCGTTAGACAAAATCGCGAAATGATGCAACGTGTTCACTCTACAGTCTCTACACGACCGCCGCCACGCACAAATGCCATACGCGTGAAGTCCGTACCGTGTAGCCGACGGCCATCTTTAAATCACGACGCAATATGGCGCTGAGTGCACCACCTGCGCATCTGCGCACTTGATGATCGATGTGGCACGTGAACGCGCTTCAATCGTCGGCCGTGTTACGTGCATACGAACGGAAAAGAGTATTTTACGCAGGTTTGTTTTTTATTCAATTTTGTTTATTGACACGGTCTCGTTCCAAAATCTAACAAGACTGTATATTTTGGAACTAGAGCCTGAAGAAAACTGCCAGCAATGTTTTTTTTTTTATAAACGCAGACGTTTCGAACCTTCGTTTGTGACGAAACATATTTTATCGTGTAATATACGCAATATACGCGGCTTGAAAATTTATTCGCAAATATAGCGACGAACAATAAGACAGATATTATCAGACTGATTTTATCATGTTGTCTGGCTAATTTGTATAACCCCGAAAACGTAACAAATAGATTGTACAATAACAGTTCTTGACACAAAAAGTTATAAAAGCAATAAGTATTAATAAAGTATTAGTAAAGTATTGATAAAGTATTAGTAAAGTTAGGCGCGATATATAAATGTTTACTATAATAATATGTTTTCTGTTTGTACAGAAGCGGAACTAATCGAAGAGAAGAGAAAAGAACCGCCCGAAGAGACGGAACATACACGCACATTATTCTGAAACTTGCTTTTGCTCCGGGCAATCGTGCAAAATCAAAATTGGAGCACGTCGCGGCGAAACGGATGCGAAGGTTCGTCATTGTCGATTTGAGAGTTGCGCGCGGTTCCCGCGCTAATAGAAACTCGCTTTAAGCGGTGTTAAAGATTGAAGGCGCACGCGCGGCAGCACCGGCGGCCCGGCGTTTCGTACACAGCTGTGCCGCGCACCTCGCGCACACTCGGCTCGTTCCGCTGGCGACTGCCAGAAGCAAGATGGCGCCCGTCTGTTTGCGTATACCTCTGCGGTGGATATAAATACGCGCGAGAGAGGAAAAAAGAGAGAAAACAGTGTCGAGAGAAACGGTTACGGACGATCGAGCGGTCGGTGACGATCGTTGGTGATACGCGGCAATCCCGTCCACGGACGTCGACGTCGCCACGCCGCCGAGGTAACGTCGGTAAAACGCGTTCGTTGTGTGTGTCCCCCGTCGTCGTGATCCCCGCGCCAAAACCTTTTTTTTTTGCGGCTTCTTCGTCATTTCTCGTTGCGATACGTCGTTGGCCGTAGGCGCTCGCGCCGTGTTTCACAGGTGCCCTACACCTGAGGAATGTTAGATCGGCGCCCCGGCGGATCGGCCGAACGACAACACGGCGTGTTGCGTATCACGAACGAAGAGGAGCTGTGAGGAGAAAAAAGAAAAAGAAACGCGCGCCGACGGCCGGAGTGTGCTCTCGTGGGGATTTCCTCGCGAGAAGGTGATCGCGTTCGATACTCTTTCGTGACGTATGTGTCTCGCGGAGTTCTATCAGACGGGTCGGTCGTCGCGAGTGTTTTCGTCGTCGTCACTGTCGTTGTCCATTCCGTTATTATTATCGTTCACGTCGTCGCCGTCCACGTTCCCGTCGTCGCCACGTTGCGCCGAGTATCATCGTCGACGTTCTCGATGCTCTGTCGCCCTCCCCTGGAGGACCATCCCTTCTGGACGTCCGGCGAGATCAGCTGCTACTGCTGTTGCTACTGCTGCTGGGATTACTAGCCCGGCGGCTCTCTGCGAGGATACTCTTCTGTTGGAGCAGTGGGGCAAGGAGGCGCCGGAAGCAGCCGCGAGTCCGGAAGCATAGCGAAGAAGATGGCCTTCAACGAGGTGAGTTTTTTATTCGAGTTTTGTATTTTTACTATGTCGCGCGGCGTTTGCACGCGACGGCGTTTCTATTGCATCGCGCGTTTGGATCGTTCGATCACCGCGGGTTGACCCCGCGACCCCCAAACGCCATTCCTAACCTAACCTTCCGTTTCTGCGCACAGCTGGCACGCTATCAACTCTCCCGCTTCTCGCCTCCCGCCGCCTATCTCGTCCTTCGTTCTCCAACGCGAAACATTTCTCTCTCTTGCTCTTTTTTTTCTCTCTCTCTCTCTCTCTCGCGAGAGACTTCGCGTTTTCGGTAAGGATCGGCTTTACCGTAGGGTTAGCTGAATTTCATTTCGCAAAGTAGATTTAAATGGCTCTATAAAAACGGGATGTTTATTTAAAATCGTATCGTATTTTATTTGCCTAAAAGTCGTACGATAAATCGAAGAAATAAAAGTAAAAAATGACATAACAGTTCGAGGCGCAGCTTACGTGCTAATTGAAGTTGATAGCGACGCGCATGTTGTGTGTGTCTGTAATTATATGCCCGCCGGTGTGTGCTTTATTATAATTTAGATCTTTAATCAGACGCTAAGGTAACTACTGCTCGGATTCTTTGTAAAAATAAATTGACTGTCAAAGATGCCTATCGCGTCTGTTGAACGTCTTAACCGGGTACTGTGTGTGTGTGTGTGTGTGTGTGTGTGTGTATGTGCATGCGGATTACATACGCGTATGTATATTTAAACCGTCGAAACGTTCCAGCGAAGGAACTTCGTCGTGGAAAATGTAATCGCTCGATAAAATACGTGCGTTTGAAACGGATCACAAAAAAAAATGAAGTTGTTATATAGATCGCCACGCTTGTAAACGGCGCGATAATGCGCGCCTAATTGTCTCGCGTCCTTGAGAACGACGCGATAAGTGTCATTGAAAACCGCAAGCAACGGTGTTTTATCGTCTCATAACAATAATTCCATCGCTTTGACATATAGTTGACGACATTTCGCGGCGGACGACGCGATTCGTCCGTCACTATCGCGTTACGCTATCGCGATATGTAGTTAAGTTCGAGGAATTTGTGCTAATCAGCTTTGGACCGTGCGTCGGCTTCGAATCACAACAACAACAACACACTTCGTCGAGCTTCTCTCGATCGTCACTCGGCTTTTCGATAAGAATCCGCATTTTCTCGCGCGTCTCGCAAACACTCGACACTATTCGTTTTGATAGCATATCTTACGCACGCATGTGTGCGCGTGTTTTTTTTTTTTTTTTTTTTTCAATCGAAATCTCACGATTTTCATTGATAAAGAAGGATCTCGGTCAGAAGTGCATTCGAGTTCGCATGTTAAATCGCATTCAACACCCTACATTTCTCTCTCCTTTGGAAGATTTGAACACGATTGATTTAAACGTGTAATAAATCTCGGTCGCGTTATTTCCTATTTCAAATGCGCTCGAGTTTCCGCACAATGAAAGATAATATCAACCCCCTCTTTCACGGACCATGTGGGAAACTTCCCATCATTTGTTGTTAGGATGTATGGTGTGCGCTCGGTATAGTTTGCTTCTTTTTTTTTTTTTTTTTCTATTATTATATTCACCGATATTTCACGCGACTCATTATTTTTACAAGTGTTTCACCGCTCGGAAGACCTCGAAGTCGCGTCCCGCCTGTGTATAAGACGAATACGTAATAGTTCCTTTTCGCGCGCGCACGTACTCGAAATGATTTACCTCGGGACTCTCTTCGACGAACAAACCGGTGTTATCGTCGCTCGTGACGCATACGCAGCGCATGCAATCGCACATGTCGAATTGCGCTCGCGCTCTTTTTTTTTTATTATCGCGCTCTTTCGCCGAGTCGGCTCGTATGAAAAAAAAAAAAAAAAAATCGCGCCGGTGCGTAATTAATACACCACGATCGGATTTCGTCCGACAAGCAAGCTGTAACGTTACACGCACACCCGAGTAGATGGACTGGAGGAAAGGGGTTCGAAAAACTCGACGCGCGCGTGTGATAATCGCGCGCGTAACTTGACTTTTGTTCCCACGTTTTGATGTTTTCGACGAAATGCGCGCGCGCGCGTATTTGCGATCCGATCAAAATGTTTTCTTTGCTTTTTTTTTGCAAATGGTATTCGCGCGTCGAAAGTTTTTTTTTTTTTTATCGACGACATAAAAATTTCATCTCGTTATCGATCGTTTCTGCGAGAGCTCTAAATGTTATTTTTTTGTTTTTTATTTTTATCACGATCGATCGATTAAATTCTCTTACGCGCGAAATTGTCCGACGCAAAAACAACATCTGTCCGTGGCGATTGAAACGCGCGAATTAAATTTCAACAACGACTACATCTACGAGGAATGTTGTCGATCTCCCGGAGATCGAGACAACACTCGTCGATATATCTTAAGGCCATTCTACATAAGACGCAGACGCGTGAATTGACCAATCACGTAAGTCGATTGGCTGATTTGACAAACATGAATGGTCAATTCTACGAGATCAGCGGTCTGCGACCTGCGTCTGCGTCTTGTGTAGAATTGTCTTTATCTTCGTCGCGTCTTGTGATTTTTGTAAGAGTGTGGTGGAAAAAGAAAAATTCTCGATTCACCTGTGTCGGTCAGAACTCGGAGAAAGAATTTGTGCCGCGAACAAAGACATCCGCGACCCGTTGATATCGATCGAGATGTCGTACACCATTGCGTATAGAGAGGGATTCCGCCTCCCCTTTCTTCTCACGACGTCTCTTACGCGCAATTGCGGGGCTTCTTCGTTTCTACGCCGGGGTCTCTTTTCGTTTTCGCAACAAATGCGCCGTATTTCGAATCGACTCGTCCGGAAAATCAGCTCCCCGTCGGAAGTCTCTCGCGCAAAACTTTTCGGAAAATCCGAGAGAAGAAATTTGCTGCGCGAATTGCAGCGTCGCGCTGTTGTGCGAGTATACTTGCACACACATGCGCACTTCGAATCGTATAAAACTTGGCAGAGCAAATTAAGCACCTTTCTGCGCGAATTCTGCGCGGAGTTGTTATTGGCGCGTTGTTGTCGAGACGGCTGTTTTGAAACTTTCTCGAAGTTCTGCGATATTTCAATAATAAATGTGTCGAGCACACACACATTTTGCGTGCGCAAGATGTTGCGCGAAATTGCACATTTCCTTTATAAGATACATTTTCTCACTTGTGGTGTCTGGGAAAACAATTTTCAATGATTGCGCCAACAAAATTACTTCGCTTGAAAAATTCAATGTGAGTGTGAGGTGTGATGTCACACACACACCACACACACACACAGATAGAGAGGTCCTATTTGTTAAAACTAGTTGGCTTATCACTCGGTATGCGTGTATGAGTGTCCCACTAAATATCGGCTCTGTTTTTCTTATCAGCGTTCAAAAGTAGCGCTTCGGTTTACACACGCGACTGCTTCTTATCGCTACGTTATTCTCTGTTTAGTTTTATCGGTACGGAGTTAGGAAGCGTGCACGTTTAAAACGTTGTGTGTATACGTATACCGTTATTACGTGGGCCGCATGACGATCTTCTCGAGGAGTTTCGGCGGTGTCGTATTTCTCGAGTTTATTTTTTTTTTTTTTCAGGCCACCACGCGTCACGTAATTCGTGGGCGCGTAAACAGGTTGTCTCACAGCTCTCCTCATTAAGTCGAAACTTGAACAACTTATTTCACGCGTTTCGCTCGTTTTTATATCTAGTGTTTACTATTTAAATATAACAACTCTCACGCGCACATGCGCACACAGATTTTTAAAATTCTTTATTTGCCGAGAAACTTGGAGAGTTGTTTTAAAAATTAGTCACGCCAGTTGAAGTCAAGTGTTAACATAAAACAAACTTCTCTAATTCGATCGTCAAAAAAAAAACAATTTTTCGAATTACAGTGGACATGTACTTTTCGAGAATCACAGAGATTACACCGTTCGGACTTACTCGAGTTGTAGATATTGTATCAGACAATTGGTGCATCTAAGTATTTTAAATTTTCAATTAATTCTTTATTTTTACACAATCGTTTTCTGCAAGAAATGAAACATAAAATCTCGAATTTTATATAAAAGTTTACGACATTCGAATGGCACCCATATCTTATAGTTGGAATAATTTCCGATGTGTAATAATTTCACTATCGATGTAGCGATTCGAGTTTGTTTTATTGCACGTCACGAGTAAATATCGCTTTAAGGAGGAGTCGCGTGACAAGCGATCGCCACTGCATTAGCGTTACGTAAGATCTGCGTGGCACTGTATTTAATGGCTCGCATTTCCTTGGACGCGCGCCGTACGTGGAACGATATAGGCCGGATGCGACAAAACGTAGATGCATCGACGTGCATACATACATATTATATATATATATATACATATATGTACATACATACAAACATTAAATACGTACGTACGTACATATGTACATACGTACGACCGTGGGCGAACGCGTCGTAGACAACTCAGGAATCGAACTATGGAAATTGACAAAGGCGGGCGCACATCCGTGATTAAACTCGACGCTCGCGCGACGGACAATGCACCATTGTGCTCCGTTTTCAGGTGCGCAGCGCACACGGCTTCCTGGAAAATTAAAAGTTGCCGTTATTGCCCGCGCAAATCGATATTACGTACACATTTTAAACGTACCGGAACAAGACGATCTTGTTAATTTCACATTTGCATAAATCTATCAAAAAAAAAAAAAAAAAATTGCACGTGGCAATTTTATTGTTTGACATTCGCAAAAGTGAATTACGCAAATGTTTTAGCGAAGCAATTTCGTTAATGCGTGCTACTTTCACGCGATCAATTTAAATCACAATCGCCGATATATATCGCCGCGTAAGACACCGCGTCTCGGCCGTGGCTTTTCTCAAGAGTGCCGCGTTTGGCCGCGGTCCATTCCGTTCAATCCCGATATAAAATACACGCGTCACCAAAAAGAAAAGAGCATCCGTATCTCGCGCGCGCATTGTCAGGCGCCGGTAAAAATGGGCAGC